ATTTTCTTGGCACAAAACTCTATGGAAATTCAAGAAACCATAGATAGACCTCAAAATGAGGCAATTATTTTTGAAAAAAGTAGATAGAAGTCAAAATGAAAAAATGTTTTCGATTTCATGAATCTACGGCATCAGTGTGAAGTCAAAGTCGAATCAAAACTGGAAGGTAGGCCACGAGTCCCTTCACCCATCTAATGCAAACTCATACTAGGCCGCTTCTCTCGAAGACGTATTAGGAAAAGTTTTTGGAAGCACTTTGCAAAATATGATAACGCAATTTTTTAACACAAGATATAGGGGATACGCTCTAGCACTGTAGAATTGGCTGATAGATGACCACATTTTTTATAGACCATGATTGTAGGTCTCAAATTGACAACCAGATACTGCATAGTGATCAAAGTATGCAAGAAACAATAGTTTATTGAATAGATTTCAAATAGGCCTCAGCGAAGGGGTATGCTGCTCATTTCATGACTTCACAAAAAGACACAGAAAAGAGGATTGCCAGCTAAACTTGATCTGATGTTTCAAAGTGTTCATTCACTGACCAGATACTTCGCAGATATCTCCAGGAACAAGGTCTCGAGCTCGAATCATTTGGATACCATGTGTACCCGCTCGAACCACTTTGGCCATTTCCGGTTCATACTCTTTTAAAGCTTCAATAGCCGACTCTGCATTTCGCTCCTAGGAGAAGATGACATTCGGGAAGTTTGAGTCAAGCACTAACCCTTCATCTCCAAAATACCTGCCAGACACCAACGGTAGCATTTGCGATCAGAATGAGGAGGATAACGAAAGGTTCGACAAAGGCGGTGACTGCAGCAGTTTGGTCGTCATGTTCTTCAAATAAAGCTAGAACCTGCAATTGTCATGATCTTAGCAACGTTCTCATGCTTTTTAAGGAACACAGAGAATAGAATAACTCCTTGAAATACTAGTTTGTTTTGATTTCGTTGCATGAAATATGAGAATGTCGTCAATATCAAACCGATGAGAGATATCAGGCACAGACATTTGTTAGCAAAACGCGCAGCTGTCGAACGAGGATGTGCAAAGGAAAGCAACGAAAGCGTCAGGGGGCGCTCCAATCCAAAGCAAAACTACAGGTCAACTTTTATAAGGAGTTTCCATGTTTTCATTGTGAGAATATAATCACAGAGATAGAAAAAGATGTGAAATTGCCTATGTTGAATAAACAGATAGCAGGTGT